TTTATTTTACCGAACTCTATTTTCTTATAGGTAAACGTTGTTCATTATGACAAATTTATCAACAATATCTTAGATCATGATTGCATTTCCTGATCATATCCAACTGTTACATAATTTGTACAATGTAAGTATTTTCAAAAGACTGATAGTTTTCAGTTCTTAATGATTCAGTCACTAAACTTCTGTTAAAAGGCATAATGAAAAGTAAATCTTGATTACGCAATGCAAAAGTATTTATATGAACAATCTAATGATAATTGTATTTCAGTGTTTATTTACTTTGCTGTTACATAAATATTAATTCAGCTTATTCTAAGTTTCCATATTAAACTCTATACATAATCTACTAACGAGATTACATAATTAGAAGATTGTTTATTGTTGAAAACTTATTACTTGAAAGAGGAATCCCATTGGAGCGATGTGTCCACAGTTTATTAAATGCTCCTATATAGAACTAGTAGTTGTTTTACATTCACCTTTTAAAAGCTAAGCCCGATAGTGTTCTGAGATGCGTTTGGAAAATGATCGCTTTGTGCGGCCTATGTAATGTGCCCCACATGAGCAAGTAAATTTATAGATACACATTGATGTGGCCCAAAGCAGATGTTTATCCTTAACACATCCAAGAATGGTAGGCCTCACAAACCGATCATTTTCCAAACGCATCTCAGAACACTATCGGGCTTGGCTTTTAAAAGGTGAATGTGAAACATTTACTTATTACTTGATTATATTATGAATTTTCTAGTTATTTAGCACTTAATATACTCAAAAACTAACTGGGAAATAGAAGTTTATTCGACACATTTAACAACAATACAGAATCTAAAATTGATTGATAACTTAATGGTCAGTACGGTCATATTTGTCTAATACTTTAGTACTAATCAAATTTTATCGATTCAGTTGCAATAAAACCGCTCATGTGAATATCCCTTTATGTCTAAATCATGAATTATTGAATTTAAGAAGCTTCTTGCTGGTCATCTTCAGTCATCTAACATAAACGGTCTTTTCTCATTGACTTGTTTACAATCGAAATTGTATACAATCAATTAGATGATGTGATGTATTTGACAACAATGGTGGTTAAGTAATTACTCAGAGAATATATTATCTTCAGCTCCTGAATCAATTACATTTTTCATAATTAACCAGTACATATATTGACAAGCTTGTTGCTATGTTAACGTTTACATAATTAAAAAGAAAAAGAACAAACTCAGAACTCAATGAACCAACGCACCCTACAGTTATCCTCAAACGTTTTAAATAACATACCTGTAAGACGTAACTATTCTCAACACTTTCCCATTGGGCAAGATGGTTTACTAGGTTACTCAACATCGAACGCTTTAAATAATAAACCTGTAAGACATAACTATTCTCAGCACTTTCCCATTGGGCAAGATGGATTACTAGGTTACGCACCATCAATCCAGCTGGCAGGTGCCTGTCTTAACTGTCCGCCTAATCAAGTTCAACAAATTAACCCACTTTATCAAAATAATGATTTTTTCGGCCTTCAGAAATCCCTGGTCCCACTAGCAATACAGTTTGTTCAAGCGATAGCCCATACGATCAGTCAAACATAATAAACCACAGTCTATGCAAATCCAAACTACATAACATCAATAGGGAAGCTCTCGGTTTTTTTACACTCCACACTCCCTTTTTAAACTTATTACTTATCAATGCACGTTCACTTCTGAACAAAATTTCAGCCTTGAGAACATTAGCTTTTCTAGACAAACCTTCTTTCATACCTATCACTGAAACATGGTGATCTCAAGCAGTATCTAATTCAGAATTAAATATCCAGAACTATCGACTTTATCGCTACGACAGAGAAACTAAGCGAGGAGGTGGTTGTATTATATATGCTTTGGATACCCTAACAACTAATAAAGTTGAAGATAGTGTCCTGAATAGTTTACCAGAATCAGTCTGGATATCAGTCAACACCCTGAATCATAGTCTACTACTTGGATGTATATACAGAGCTCCTGATAGTCCGAATAATGGGAATGATCTTATTATCAATGCATTCATACATGCATCCTCTCTAAACTTTAATGCTAAGGTTATCACTGGGGATTTCAATTATCCTGGGATCAACTGGAGTACCGGTAGTTGTCAGTCATGTAATGATGAGTTCTCGGCAACCATTAACATTCACTGCTGGTCACAGTGGGTTCGTGCCCCAACTAGAGGCGATAGTATACTCGATCTAATATTTAGTAAAGATGTTATCCCACTATCTGTAAAAGTACACGATGAATTTGAAAGCAGTGACCATAAGATAGTATTTTGCGCTCTCCCTATCTCTCTTTCTTATAACCCACCCATTCAAAAAACTTGTCAATATAGAGACTATAAGCATGCTGACTGGGACCTCCTGCATTCATTGATTAAACTTTCAGACTGGGATAACTTTTTTTTCATGTAATAGTCTCATGAATGCTATCGACGAATTCTATCTGATCATTAACTCTTGTTTAGATTCCAGTGTACCTCTTAAAACGTATAGGTTTAGTAAACCTTACGAATTATATATACCAGCTAAATATCGTAATAAACTAAAACGCCTACAGAATCGTTATTTTAAGTCAAACGACTTCACAGCAGTTGCACAAATAACAATAATTTTTAATCAAATTAAAGAGAAACCTAAGTTAAAAGCCATTAATGAGGAGCTGTTAGCCCTTAACACTAACTCGAAAGTACAAAACTTAACTCTCCTTTTCAATAAACCCACTAAAGCGACTCGAAATGTTGATATACCGTGCATCAAGCATAATAGCACTTTTATATACGACTCTAAAACCATGACCGACCTTTTCAGTAGTATATTCGCGAATGGTGTAGAAAACATAAGTGGCTATGCTTCAAGAGTTATGTGCGTGACTAGCAACTCAATAAAATCAATCTCCTTCACATGCATGAAAATTAATAAGGCTATAGACACCCTTGAGCTTTCGAAAGGTCGTGGAGTAGACGGGATTTCATCATTTCTCTACAAATATGGTGGTCCAGATATTCAACTCCTTCTTCTAAAGCTGTTTACTCCCTCTATGGAAACCGGTTCTTACCCTTACTGTTGGAAAACCGCGTACATCATACCACGTTACAAATCTGGAGATAAGACTGACATGAACAATTACCGGCCAATAAATATTACTCCATTTATTTCTAGGATTATGGAAAAAATTATATGTGATGAACTTTCCAACTATTTACTTACTGGAGAATTTATCAATGATACTCAACATGGATTTCTTAAAAATCGTTCTTGCATGACATGTCATTTTGACTTCTTTAATTTAGTCTATTCTCTACGTAGCCAAGGATATCTAGTCTTAGTGCTATATCTGGACATTTTTAAAGCCTTTGACATAGTTAGCCACCAACTTCTTATAGGTAAGCTCGCATCTTATGGGGTTCAAAATCCTTTGCTTGCTTGGTTTGATTCCTTTCTCAGCAATCGACATCAAATAGTTAAAATTAACTCTTCATTGTCTAACGCTGTCCCTGTTAGAAGTGGTGTAATACAAGGTAGTGTCTTAGGTCCTTTGCTCTTTTTAGTGTTTATCAATGATATTTGTGAAAGTTTTTGTGTCGGTAAGCCCCTTCTATATGCAGATGATCTTAAAGTAGTATATTCATTTTCTCCACATGACCTGAAAAATATGCAAAATTGCATCAGCATGGAGCTTAACAAGGTAGCACAGTGGTGCCTAAAATGGCAACTGGAGCTTAATACGGCTAAATGTGGCGATACATCACTCAACCTAGACATTACCATAAATGGAGAAATGTTATCTAGGTTACATACAGTAGTAGACTTAGGACTTAGATATTCCCAAGACTTGTCGTTTACAGAACATATATTAAAACAGATCTCTAAGTCTCAACGTCTAATAGGTTACATAACTCGAAATCTTTACAACAGTGAGTCACGTATTCTAATGTACAAAGTTTGTGCTCGACCTCTTCTAGAATATTGCACGTTTATTATTAGCAGTGCGCTCATAAAGGATAAATTAAGGCTGGAATCAGTACAGAGACGATTTACACTTCGTATTCTTGGAGCTGATTATACCTTAACTTGTAGTTCTAGACGTAATAAACTTGGGCTAGACCCTTTATGGAGGAGGAGACTCAAACTAAATCTTATCTTTTTCTTCAAACTACTTCATAAACTATCGTTTACATCCGATCACGCGATTCAATATGCAGAAACCTCTCATTATGACATCCGTAATTCCTTGGCACTAGTGAAACAAACTCATTCTAAATCATCTCTTTATATGAATTACTTCACCTGTAAATTTTCTAGACTCTGGAATAACCTACCACAATCTATCCGTACGATAAAATCACTCCCATTATTTGTTCGCTGCATCGATGCATACTGCTCCGCTGAAAATGCGTTGAATGGTCTAGCGCCTTTAAGTGTATCTCATTCCACAAGTGATATTTTAGGAACCTTAAATGTTTAGCCATCTTTATTAGTGAATTCCCTTAGTAAAACCACCCACTTGATGTCAATATGTTAACACCGCCCCTAGCAACTTTAACTAATTTGAATAACATAAACAGTATATCACTGTGTCACATGACACACGCATTTAGGTAGACCTGATAGATATATTTTGGTAGTTACTTTTTTTGTTGTTCCGTGCTCTCTGTTTTCGTTTTAATTTCTCTAGTTGTAGATAATTATCATTATTTCGATCTGGCACACGAATTGACCTTAATTACTCTCCGTTCATAAATCAACAGGCTGTCCATTTAAGAAATAGTAAGAATTCCCGGCTGATGCATTAGATCGCTGTAATATATGTACTACTTAAACAACTACTGAACTAGTATACTTAAAACTTTCTTTTATCACATGTTTGTTCTGTACATCTAACGTTATTATTTATAACAAATTGATCATGCTTGTAAACTGGCGTGAATTCTGTAATTATTATTATTTTTCAGAATATAAAATTATTATTATTATTATTATAAATCCATATTTAAGTAGTTATTTATTCATTATGCATAGATGATGTCAAATAAAACAAAAAAAATTATGTGAAATTGTTAATGATTATTGCCTATTCTTTATCAATTTTATTCATTCATATTTGAGTAGTAAGTTGTTCTATCTGTCATTACGTTACTTTGTGTACCTTTAGAAAAAAAAATTAAAAACAAAACAAAACAAAACAACGTCAACTGTTAATTTTAGTAAGTTACAAAATCAATAATTAAAGTAACTAATAACATTATATTTCACATTATGGATTAATATTGGGTAGGAAACCATTGAAAACTGAGAAACAATAGGTAAATGTTTCATTCTAATATAGAACTTCCCAACATTGTTCATATGTATATATACAACATCCATGGTCGAACCCATGACCTTCATGAATAATTTATGTGTGTATATATCTCGCCTTATCAGTATATGCCATTCAGAAAAAAAACTTGTTTAATAGTTAATTGAGTTAATTTATTAAAGAGAAGCTAGAATGAGAATAAGTTTACCCATGATTAACTAGGTTGTGATACTGGAAATTCAAAAATTTAGGCTTTTTAATATGTTTGAAATTGTTCATTAATACACGTATATAACTATTCACCGAAGAATGTCATCAATGTTCATCATCATTGATGATGAATAACTATTTCACTAATTACTTAGTTAATTTCATGAATCCTAGTTTTCCTACTGTTATGGTGTGTGCTACTTATATTGACTATAAGTAGTATATGATGTTAGCGTGAACAGAAGGTCTGGCATCAGAGAGACAAGAGGATCGAACAGTAAAGAATGGAAACAAAAAGCAATTTGTATGAAAATGCAAGAACAATGAAGTCGGAGTCATTATGAGACAAGTGATAGACATTTTACAAATTACGTATTTACTATTTGATTGTTAGATTTTACTAACAAGTCCTGTAATTTTGTGTTAAATACATTCGATTTTCCCCACTGATGTTCTTGTTCACTTCACTGTTACTCTGAGAAATTCATGTCAATGTCAGTTTTCAAATGTATTCCGTTTAAGCATTATATAATTTTACATGATAAAACTACAGTACTGATTTGTACTAAATTCATGTCTTTTTTCTGACATAGAAAGCTGAAGATATTTAAGTAAGACTACAATTTATGGACGAACCATTCAGATTTAGGATAACAGGTCTTGGATTTTAGGCGCGAAATTCACGCATTCATTTGGCTAAATATGAGTTTTGGCATTTTACCTGATGTCAGTTCGTGATGAAAAACCACAAATCTAATTCTTAACCTTAACCATCAACTGTGAATCATAATCTTTATTTTTCAAACTACTTTATAAACCCTCATTTAGCCCTAATAAGTAGGTAGACACTCTCATGGTCACTTTGATGTCGCTCAAAGGTCGTCCATAAATTATAGTCTCACCGATACTTGTTTTCATTTAAAACTTAAAGTATTACGAATTGAATTGATTGTTTTGAGAAATATTTTTCAAGTTTTCATGTCGAGCATTATAATTCAAGATCAGAGTCTATTTAAAACTGTTGAAATCACGTAGTACTACAGTTTGATCATTTCATTATACACAATATTTTGATATAGTAGTTTAATTGATAAAGATTTGTATTTGTCATAAACAACTAGGTAGGTTTGTAATTATTGATAACATTTTTGAGATCAAAGAATCATTTTATCACTGAAGAATAATTTTGTTTACATCATCATAGATTTTGATCATGAGATAGTTTCCTGTCATAACATCAGCTAACAAAACATACTACAGTTGAAATATTCTATTATCATGAAAGCAACATTCATGATTGTTATTTGCAAAGATAGGTGTACACTTTAAATTTTATTCATATCTATGAAATAGTGTATTACCACAGTGTTATACATGCGTCTGTTAATAGTTATACTTGAAAACGAGGTATCGCTACAATTTCCAAGACTCAAAAGTAAGAATAAGGAAGACTGATACAAGTGAAGATTTATTTTACCTCTAAAACATGATGATCACTCTATTCAAATATGCACTCATACACATATTGATTTTTACACCTATTAGATTATTGATTAGTAAAAAGTCACACATAGGAATTCATGGCAAAATCGTATGTTGTATTTCATGCCGAATATAATTAACGTCAATTTAATACAGGATTATCATATCTTGAATGCTTAAATCACACTGAAGTAAATCAATATTATGCTGAACAAAATAGCACATTGAAAATAAAGCAAATTCTACACCAAATGATCATCATATTGAATTGAAGAATGAAACTAATGTTGGACATGAATCGTAATGAGTTAAAAATGTCATTTTGCTTTTTGATACCGTCGCATCACACAGAAGCATTGGTTAGCATAAACTAAGGTGTATTGTTATTCGATCTATCGATTGTTTGCAGATTTTGTTGCATAGTAAAAAAATACAATTCTTATGAAGATAAAGTTTTTATGTTAAAAAAGGATATAGTCACGTAGTGCTATGCATTGGCCAATCAGGTGACAATCAACCAGTCTAATATGGAGGTCCACAGTTGAAGCAATCTTTGAAATAACATTACAACTGTTCAGTCGTTATTTTATTTATTTATTTGTTGAGTTATCCATTGAACTACATGTGGGTAAGTTGAATCTTTCTCACATGCCAAGTTCAATGAAAGTAATTATTTTCTTTATCTGTGCCTTATTTTACCACCTTGTTTAGATATATTTATCAGTAAGGGCTTGTGGAGATTGTTGAGCTTAGAATGATATCATGAATGAATCAATATTGAATCACTATTGAAAACCTGGAAGCAGTGTTTGACGGTCGTCCCACCTTAGTATGAGACACCCCACTAGTACACATCCATGATCCCGCACACGGGATTCTAATCCGTCTCATGTGCGAACGCCTAATCTCTAGACTACTGAGCCGATCGGCATCCAACGCTGTTAATCTCCAACTTCAACTAATCCACGATATTGCGCCACCGTCCTCTATTGTCTTCAGCCAGTAACTGCCTCACAACAGACATGAATGAACTCCACTGGTCATGACTTCTCACTAGAACTGCAAGAAATCCATGTTGAAGCCAATCACTAGTGAGCACCTACTAATTATCAGCAAGGGATTGTGGAGATTGCTGAGCTTAGATTGATATCATGAGTGTTGATCTAACGTTGAACCATTCATAATATCAATCTAAGATTAGATACATCTTTGATTTCTTTTTTATTATAATTAATATCTATAATTTCTTGTCTATTTTTAAATTATTTATATACACAAATTTTTGTCTAGCTACATAATAACTTCAAATTAAGTTCTAACGGCAGTACTCTACTTGCTTAACAAAATGTTTTATCCTTGTTATTATTAATATTATTATTATCTAACAGTTATATATAATATATAAAAATATTGAGCTGATGTAGTTGGATAACTGTTAGATAATATTAATGTGCCTCCAAATGCCCTGGTACGGCCGAGAGTGGGGCGAATCCTCTCTCCCTCTTCAAATGCTCTCACATGGCCACGCGTATGGAGCCTCTGCCAGGGAAGTCATACTCACTGCCTTTTCTCACCAGGTTGTTGTTTACGAAATTGAGAGGACGAAAAGCGAATGTTCGGCGTTTTAGCCGGGTTGGTGGACATGGAGAGTTCACGTAGGGGAGTTGGAAAACCCTGATTCCAAACCAATTGTGCACATGGACTCCAGTACCCTGAGGTAACAAATGGCGTATGAACCAATGGTTAGTCACCGGCTACCATGGGACTGCATCTCCTTACGATGCTTCGCTGCCTTCTGGATCAGACCTTCAAGTTGAAGGCTCCAGGTGTGGCCGCCCCCTAAGAAAACCACCTGCTTCGGTTTGGGCATCCAGGCAGTATCACAGCCCTTACACAAATCTAATAAGTTTTGTGTGGTGCATATCTATCTGCTTCCCCCTTGTACCAGTATTGATGTGTTCAAATAAATAATATAAAAATGTAAACATGTTACTTATCATAAATGATAATATTACTTACTATCAACATATGCTGTAGTTTGAACATAAGTCTCTGTAACAGTATGTAATATATCTCTTGAATTATTTATATCTAATTTATAATCTAATAATTCACTTGCTTTTTCAATTTTACGTTGTTTACGTTGATATTTTAATGCTTCATTAGATCCATGCTCAATTAATTCATCTAAAAAATTATCAATATTTATTGCTGATATATTTCTATTTACATATTTTCTACATAATGGACATGTATTACGTATTTTAAACCAATAATATAAACATTCACGACAAAATTGATGACCACATGATAATAAACGAGTTCGAACTAATAGACCACGACATATAGAACATAGAAATGATTCTTTAATTAAATTATCTAATAATTGATTATTAGTTAATTGGATATCATCTAAATCAATAAAGGTGACATTTTTATAAGTTTCAATTTGATTAAATATTTCATTATGTTGAATTAATTTATCATTAGATTGACATGTATATGATTGAGCATCAACTAAACAACTTGATAATATTTCATTCACTTGAGTTGAACGATTTATAGATGATAATTTCATATTAATTGATGATTGTATCATCATAATAAAATAATAATAATAATAATAATGAAAATTTAATTAATTTAGTTTCTATGTTAGTTTTCTACATATTTATATACTGGGTAGAACAAATGTATCTATTTAGTTGTGGTCATATGATTTGAAATGTGACTTTATATTGATTTGGATATAAATGGAAAAGAAATGGTATGTGTTAGTGATTGTATTAGTAATAAGACTGCATAGCCTATACTATTTTTTAATTCCTTAGAGCTTTTTAGAAAAAACTTGATATGAATAAAATGTACTTCGTGCTTAATTATATTTCAATAGGTGAGAGTATATTTGTAGAAAAATTGTTTGAAATAATTAATTCGCTCTCATTGAAATTAACGTCGTATGTCATTTTGGTCGATAATAATTATCTCTTGAAGGTAATGGTTACTTTTACTTATTTACTTACGCCTGTTATTCCTTGTAGAGGAGCATGGGATACCTACAAGCATTCTACATCTAATTTTGTCCTGAGAAATTCTTTTTAGATGTTAATCAACCTTTTCATGTCTGCTTCCGATTTTCGACGTAGTGTATTGTTCGGCCTTCGTCTTTTTCGTTTCCCTTTAGGATTACAAGTTAGGGCTTGCCCCGTGATGCAGTTTGATGGTTTCTGTCTTTTCCTAATCTCTTTTTCACTTAGAAGTTGATTTGTTTCCTCATACAGTTGGATGTTGCTGATGATATCTGGTCAACGGAGATTTTAGTAATTTTTATAATTGAATTCATGAGTTAATTGAATCTAGATCATCATGAAAAACCTGGAAGCACTGAACAGCCATTTTGTCGTAGTAGGGGACTCCTCAGCAATGCACATGAACGATTCCGCCCCGCGAGATTCGTGGGATTCGTCTCATGAATTCAACTATTAAATTACTAAAATCTCCACAAAACCCCTCTTTGATTATAATCATTATGTACTCATTAGTGGGATTTCCTGCAGTTCTAGTGAGGAGCAGTGACCAGTAGAGTTTAACTAGGTCTGTTGTAAGATAGTAACTCACTGAAGACAATGGTAGACGTATCGCTCAATTTCGTGGATTAATTGAAGTTAGACACTAACACCGTTGGATGCCGGTCGGCTCAATGGTTTAGAGGTTAAGCGTTCGCGGGAGAGACTGATAGATCCTGAGTTGGAATCTCGCGAGGCGGGCTCATGGATGCGCACTGCTGGAGAGTCCCACAATAGAACGAAACGGCCATCCAGTGCTTTCATGTTTTCCATGGTGGTCTGGCTTTAATTGACTAATGAATTCAACTATAGAATAACAACCGTTAGTTAAATGTGAATCATGTAAAAACTTCACGATGTGAAAATAAATGACTGAACGAATTATCTGTGTATGTATGTGTAAGTTTGAGTCATTGGTAGTTGATATTAGTGTTAATAATATTAAATAGATGACAATTTTTATGGCTTAAAATTAATCTAGTCATTATCTTCATATTTGCATAAGTTTGTACTAATATATAGGCATGTATGAAACGCGTGTCTTGGATTCCATCACTAACCACCATCTATGTATGAAATTTATTTAAGCTTCTTATCAACCACTATACTTGCAAAATATCATTGACATCTAGTGTTAATATTACATCCTAATGATCTTTCGTTTGATGTTAATTTCTCAGCAAGAACTCTCCATATATTATCATATTTATTCTTCATAACAATCATACTTATAATACTTAATTTATTTAATACCATTTATTTGATTAGAACAGAGAATTCTCGGCATAAACCATTCAAAATCGTGAAGAGAATTATCGTTTAATGTTTATTCAACTAATAAATATTCAAAAGGTATTAAAATAAACTGTTTCCATAGTGATTATGTTTTATTGATCAATATAAGTAAACTACTTTAACCTATTCTGGTATTAAACTATTTCACTCATAACGTACGCTTGATATTTGAAATAATTAAGAAAAATACAGGTCTTCTTATATTGTTAAAATGTCGATTAGAAGGGGAAATACACAAAATACTGCGGTCTTTATACCTTTATGTTTTTAGGTATAAATCACTGAGAAAAATTGTTTAGTTTGTCATAAAAGCCTGTGAGCATATAATAAACTTAAGATATGTAATTAACAAATATAGGGGATTTTCGTAAACTGTTCAATTTTCATAGCTTACATCACTGACTGATTTTAGACAACCATTGTTAACCAGGAAACATTGAACAGTTATTTCGTTCTAGTACGAGATTACTCGGTAGTGTGCATCTACGACCACAACGGTTTAATAGTCTAGAAGTTGAGAGTTTATTTTGAAACCGAAAGCCCTGGGTTCGAACATACACCATTGGAGTATCCTAAAACAGGACAAAACAAATGTTAACCGTTTACCAGTTTTCAGATAGCTGTCTCATTAATATCAGTTTATGATATAAACTATAACTTAACTGATAGTTGGTTAGTTCTAAAATTGAAGTACAATTCTCGCAGTTAGAAAATAAATTGTACAGAGTCTTGAATAGACCTTCGAAATTCATTGTATTCCAAAGATCTAAGTTCTAAGCATTATTTATAATTGAACATTTTATTAGGTTTAGCGTTACTCAACTCTTATTCGTATTATTTCAAACTGATTCAGTTATATAATTAAAAAATGGCATTATTATTTCTTTTTTTAATTACGTAACTACTTTCTCACTATCTTGACGAAGTCAGAAACGAAGAATATGATCTACCACAAAGTGTATTTAAAAGAGTAACAAACAAACAAACAAACAAACAAGCACAGTTTATACCTAAAATAGAAATTCATTGATACATTCATATAGTTGAATACCAAGGTAGTTAGGAAAAAAAATTTGTTTTCGAAATATTTTTTTCTAACAAATCATTGTAATAAGTGTGACAACTGTATTTTCTTTTGTCAGTGGTCACTGTCACTTGGTTTATTGTGACACACGTAGTTTTTTTCCTGGTAACTTAATCTATCATTGTAATATTGTGAAAACAATATTTTGGCTGTTAAATTACATCACATGTCACAACTAATTATTTCACACAATAGTAATAATAATAATAATGTGTTAACATTATTATGTGGATTTACTACTGTAATCAATGTAGTTATCGTTTTTAGCTTATAAAAAGAACACAAGAACAAGATGATAGTGGGATTTTATTTATTTTGTTGATTTTCTTTCAATCTATTACAGCCTGAAATATGAATTGAATCCAGAATTATTATTATTATTTCAAATCAGCATGAACATTGGTGGAGTTAGCTAGTTGTAGTATTGCAATGAACTCTACTCATAGGATTGCTTATAAGTAGTATACAGTAGAGCGTTGTATATGAGTTGTTACAGTCAACAGCTGGAGACAGGGGTCTCAAGAAGCCAGCCAAAACACAGTGAAGTTCCGAATACTTATGAGACTAGAAGAAAAGCTATAGAAGGCAGTCTACAACTAGCTAAAGTTGCAAAATACACAGTAGATGCAAATGAAAGATTGGAGACTAAGTGTATATAATTAATAAATAATATGTGTTTCCCTTCTAATTTAGTCTGATTATTCCGTCTGGTCTTAGCTTGTTCGAACATTACGGTATCATTATATCAGATCAACCGAAGTTTATATATTGAAATAGAATCAGCATTAGGGGATCATAATTTCCGATATTTAGCAAATAAATAATTTCACGGATTGAAAACATGAGTCAGTTGAAGCTAGACCACCATGGAAGACCTGAAATTACTGGACGGCCGTTTCTTTCTGGTATAGGACTCCTCAGCAGTGCGCATCCACGATCCCGCACCACGCGGGACTCGAACCCGGGGCCTACTGGCTTCGCGCGCGAGCACTTAACCACTACCACTGAGCCGGCATCCAACGGTGTTAATGTTTAACTTCAACCAATCCACGAATTTGTGCCACCGTATACCATTGTCCTCAGTGAGCTGATGTCTCACAAAAGACCTGATTGAACTCCACTGGTAACGGCCTCCCACTAGAACTCCAGGAATATCTTTTGGAGTCAGTCACTAGCGAGCAGATGATTATTATCAGGAGGGGTTTGTGGAGATTTTAGAAATTTCACAAAGCGAGACCAGTAGGTCCTGCGTTCGAGTCCCGCGGGGTGCGGAATCGTGGGTGTGCACTGCTGAGGAGTCCCATAATAGGACGAAACGGCCGTCCAGGGCTTCCAGGTTTTCCATGGTGGTCTAGCTTGACTGACTCATGATTTCAATCTGTTAAATTTCATGTCAAAATCTTTTTTTGAATATTCATCTAAAATCTTCAGTTTTCTACAAGTTTTGCTCATTTTACTATTTCATTGTTGTTAAGCTAGGATAAGAAAGCAAGTTCATGTTTGCTCTAATTCGATGTTATATATTCTGACGTTAGTTCCATTCTTTGAATGACACTGACATTACTTTTATTCTCAGTGTAACATATCAACCAGTGTGTTATTTTTTTATATTTTCCAGTCTGACATTATTTCTGGACAATGTATTTGTATCAACTAAGTGTCAACACTATTCACCATGACAGGTGCAGATTTTCAGCCAGCGTGAGATTTATATCCTTTGTATAATTCTGTTTAAATTTCGTACGTATTTTACAGAAACTGTGTTTTTTAATTTATATAACATGGAAACCGTTTTTGTGTTTTTGCTCCGGGTCATGGAAACTGTAGTGATTCTCGTTTCCAAGTCTGGGCAGTAAGACGGGGGGATACAACAGACACCACACGTACAAAACAAAGACGACACCAGAGATAATAATTGTAGATATCAACTTGGGATAAAGGTATATCTATTTGATTATTCTCTAATAGATTAAAATGCATGTGTTAAACTCAACGTTGATTTATTATCTGAATATACCCAACAAATTATGGACAAATGTAGCAACGTCGAGGCATCCGCTACGGATGAACATAAATATCAACAGAAACTGAAAAATTATGGTCATTATTATTATCAACAACAACAACAATCAAAGCAAACTTTTACAAATAATTCAAACTGTATCACTATTACAACTTAATAAACAAAATATCCTTGTAA